AATCAAACTGTGACCTCCAACCACTGAGCGACACTGGCCAGGCTATATCAGTTTTTAACTACAGCAATACAAAGAAAGGAAAGTAATCAGGTAGTAGAATTCTATCAAGATTCTGCTTCTGTTATGGTAGGGCAGGGAGCTGTTCTTGCTAAGATGTTGATGGGTGTTGAGACTCATGTGTGACACATCTTCAGAGAGGCTGTAGGAGACTCTAGCAGATAACAGCCTCAGAATTTGAGTCAGGCCAACAGACACTGAATTAGATTCCTGCTTCTGCTACTTAATTGCTGTGTAGCTTTTGACAAACTATTTCGCATATCTAAACCTTTCCTGATATGTAAAATGGGAGTGAAAACAGAACCAATTTCATGGGCTCATCCGGAGCAATCAAAGAGATAATGTAGATAGCATAGTGCTAGGCACATTGAAAAATTATTCAATAAAGGCTTGTTGTTTGTGCTGTTAATGATGATGGTGGTGGTGGTGGTGGTGGTGAAAAAAATAGGTTCTTCTGGAGAAAAATGCCTTAACTTAATGGTCTAATGTCAGAAGTGGATGCTGCTCAAATGACACCATCCCTATACGTGGAACAAACTACGAACCTGGTATTTAAAAATAGACTTTACCTTTTTTAAAATATATTTTATTGATTTTTTACAGAGAGGAAGGGAGAGGGATAGAGAGTTAAAAACATTGATCAGCTGCCTCCTGCACACCTCCTACTGGGGATGTGCCCGGAACCAAGGTACATGCCCTTGACCGGAATCGAACCTGGGATCTTTCAGTCCGCAGGCCGATGCTCTATCCACTGAGCCAAACCAGTTAGGGCAGACTTTACCTTTTAAAGCAGTTTTAGGTTCAACGCAAAATTGTGGGGGGGGGGGGTACAAAGATTTCCTATACACCCCTTCCTCCTATATAGCATAGCCTCCTCCACTATCAAAATCCCACACCAGAGTGGTACATCTGTTACAATGAACTTACAATGGCACAGCGCTATCATCCAAAGCCCATAGTTAACATCAGGATTCACTCTTAATGTTGCACATTCTATGGGTTTGGACAAAAGTTCAACACGTATCCATCATTATCATATCATACAAGTAGTTTCACTGCCCTAAAATCCCCATTTATTCATCTCTCCCTCTCCTGGACCCCTGGCAATGGCTGATCCTTTCACTATCTCCATAGTATTTCCTTTTCCAGAATGTTATATAGTTGGAGTCATACAGTACATAGCCTTTTCAGATTGGCTTCTTCCTTGAAAGGTATTTTTACAACCATCTAGAAGCTCAAGTTAGTGTTTTGAAATTTCATTAGGTAATACAAAGATGATTACTACCAGTGATTGTGTTAAAGTCTTTGTACATGTAATCTCCATAATGTAAGCGTTATTATCCTTGTTCTACCAAAAAAGGAACTACCTACAGTCACAAAACCAGTAAATGGCAGAGCTGGTATCTGAATCTAGTTTGTCTGACTTCAATGTTCACATCTTTTCATTATGCCACAGTGTTTACCCTAATACCGAACACGGGCCCTGGAGCATCTGAGCCCATCACAGGAGCTGACAGAGCAAAGCACACTGGTGAAGGTGCATGTCCAGCCACATGGCACTGCAGCTCTTAGAAGACAGCATCCTGATAGAGCAACGCAGCAGCCACCCTGCAGACCTGCATCCCTATTCTTTTTTTTTTATGTTTACTATTTTTTTTATTTTTATATATTTTATTGATTTTTTACAGAGAGGAAGGGAGAGGGTTAGAGAGTTAGAAACATCGATGAGAGAGAAACATCTATCAACTGCCTCCTGCACACCCCCTACTGGGGATATGCCTGCAACCAAGGTACATGCCCTTGACCAGAATCGAACCTGGGACCCCTCAGTCCGCAGACCGACGCTGTATCCACTGAGCCAAACCAGTCAGGGCTGCATCCCTATTCTTAGGCAGAAGAGCTTAGTCAGTATACCTTGTCAGAACACTACTAGCCAACTTAGATGGGTCTAGTTACGTGCTTCTGAACCTTTTTGCATTATTCCCCAACCCGAGAGCCTCTTTAGACATTTTCTTTTTAATCATACCCCTCCCCAATTAACTTTTAATACCACATATATACTCTTATTTGCTTGTGTGTGGTGGCCCTTTCAGAGGGCCCAAAACTATTGTAAAACTTAAGTTATTTTGCCTTTGTAGAAACTATTTGCACCCCCTTAGGATTTAGGGAGGCTGACAGGATGTTGAGATGTCAGTGAGGTGAGGTTAATGTCCAAGGCTGGATGGTGTCTGAAGATTTGCCTGAAAAAAATGAAGAGGCCTGGAGAGGATGGGGGGCTCAGAAACTAGTATTAGTACCCTTTTACTGAATGTTGTAGGAACCATCAGAATATGAAAGCCTCCAATTTCTTCTTCATAAGAAAGTTCTTGAGGGGGCTGGCACTTTGTGGACAGGGAATTCTCAAAGTCAAAGGCAGTTAACACATCTTCAGGTAGTTTAATGGTTTCAAGGTCTTTTACTAAGAGCCCAACTCCATAGGAGCTGGAGGTTTTCGGAGGTTTAAAGGTATCAGGTTAATTCTCTATCACCCTCCATTACATGTTGGATTCAGGACACTGAAGTATAGTTTTACGATGTCTGTTGTGAGTTGAAAATAATAGTAGGTATTATTTATCATGTGCTAGGCACTGCACTAAGCATATTAGCGGGCCATTTTATTTAACCTTTACAACAATCTTGTCAGCTGGGTACGATCATTCTCCAAGACTAACAGAGGTTAGCAAACTTGCCCCAGATCACACAGCTGATAATTGAAAGTGCCAGACCTTGAACCATTCGGGCTTCAGAGGGTCACATGGAAGTAGATGGCTCAAGAGAAGAAAGTTCTAAAGAGGAGAAGGTAAGCCCCGGAAAGGCCCAACAATCAGCCATCTCTGTATCCCTCAGTCCAAAATCTGGCACAGAGGATGGGGCTCCATGGATGGATGGAAATAGAGCTGCCCTGCAGTAGAATGGGATCCCCATGAAACAGCGAGATCCCCATGGATACTCCCCACAATAGGGCTGGTTTGGCACTAGATAGAGCACCATAGAGGGATCACAGAGAGGGGATTTTTGCATCCTTAAACTTGATGACCTCTAAAGCTCACGCGTCCTGTAATTATTGGACTGAGTCTACGACTCAGACTTTGGAAAGTCACAGCTCACCTAGTATTCAGCAGTGCATTGAGATCTTAAAAAGTGGAGAACATGGGTAGAAAGGACTTATGGGCTCCAGAACCCACGCTTCCAGAGGAGTCAGAGTGGCTCGCCGTAACTCTGGGGAGCTAGGAACCTCTCAATCTTGCTCCAAAGGCTAATCTGGAGAAACAGACGTTCAAATCATTTACTCTAGAAAAAGGCTCTGCTTGTGGGTTTCAGCTGCTGTCATGGGAGCTGAAAAAGAAGAGGAACACTCCTTCCTAGCAGATGGTGAAAACAAAAATCAGTATGTCAACAAATGAGTTTCTGACAGTTGTTTGCTGAAAGCGATCAAATGAGCCCCACAAAATGCACACTGTGGGGTTGACCATTGTTCCCCACATGCACTGTCTCTTTTCAGTCTGTGCTGAGGGTCCATGGTAAACACTCAGAATTGCCCCCTCTGTCCCCATGGAGTGAGTCCCAAAGTACAGGTAGATGCAAGGGCTCAGCTTTCTAGAGGGCTCACACAAATGTGGTGGCTCACAACGATAACAAATTTATCTGTCAACACTGATATCAGACCTTCAGATTCCACTTTCAAAAGAGTCATGCATGCCCTAGCCGGTTTGGCTCAGTGGATAGAGCGTCAACCTGCAGACTAAAGGGTCCCAGGTTCGATTCTGGCCAGGGGCAAATGCCTGGGTTGTGGGCTTGATCCCCAGCAGGGGGTGTGCAGGAGGCAGCCGATCAGTGGTTCTCTCTCATCATTGATGTTTCTATCTCTCTCTCCCTCTCCCTTCCTCTATGAAATCAATAAAGAAATGTATATGTATATATATATATATATATATATGAGTCATGCAGCCTAACAACAACAATAACAAAAACCAGAGCCTTCTGTGGGGCATAAGGTACCTATTGATGGAGATACCTTAGTTGTACAATCCAAGGAGCAGCTTAATCAACACACACACACACACACACACACACACACACACTTCTATGAAATTAGCCAAACCTCACTTGTGCAAGTTTTTAAAGAAGTAATTACCTGAGTACAAAGCACCCTTATCTATAGGCTTTACAGAATCTGTTGGGCCCAACTTTATTATTATCTACATTTCTTTGCTTCTATCCCTTTGTGATTCACCATTTTATCTTTTCACTTGCTTCCCTCAAAACCAAATCTCCCCAGTTGTGTCTGTAGCTAGAGCTTCGCATCTCCCCTGTGGCCTGGTGGTCTCTTGTATGGAAGAACCTAGGCTGCATCGACCATCACCACACCATTTGCATCTCCAACCCTTTTTTTTTTCTTCAGGGATCTGAGCTCTAAGACCTGCTGAATCTTTTTCTTCCTGCCTCTAAAGAAACATGGAACAGACATCGTATAATAACGATGTGAAACCCACCAAAGTATATTTCCCAAACAGTAAGGAGTGGCCTTCTACTCTTTACAAAAGGGTAAAAACTTCCACCTGCCAATAGAGAACAGTGGCTGCTGAGTAGGTTTCAGGAACTTGAATTTAAACACTGGGTTCCCCTTGAAACTCTGGACAAAGTGACTTCTATTAACGGCTTTTAAACTATCTATCTGACTTCTCCCAAACTCAGCAACTAGTTCTTTTTAAGCATAATATCTTCAGCTGAAAAGGTCATAAATAGAATTTTGTTATTAATATCAAGATCCCAGGACACAGCCTGCTCACACGGATAGATGCTGCCCCCAAGATGTTCCCTGCAGAAGTACGTACACAGATGCTGTACACATAGATGCTTCTCACAGACAGATGTTATCGTACACAGAGACAGATGTTACTCACAGAGACAGATGTCCACCAGGAACACGATGTACACCAAAAGCTCCCGCAGGGTGGTCTTGACATAAAGTTCCCGGTTCTCAGCTGTATTCTCAGTCAGAGCTGTCCCCCAAAGTCCTACGAAGCATTGGAGAGATGCCCAGGATCCCCAACAGCAGGGTCCCTCCCAGTGATCCCCACCCATCAGTTCCTGTACTTTACTCCCATTTCCATCCCAGCCCCTTTCCTCACCCATCATCTTATCCCTTGGCTGAATCTAGCTACTCCGACCAGGCCTATCCTCCTCCATCCAAGTCCCCAAATGAAGGCATGGAAAGACCCACTTGGTCCAGGTGGGGCCGTCTAGAGCAGTGGTTCTCAACCTTCTGGCCCTTTAAATACAGTTCCTCATGTTGTGACCCAACCATAAAATTATTTTCGTTGCTACTTCGTAACTGTAATGTTGCTACTGTTATGAATCGTAATGTAAACATCTGATATGCAGGATGGTCTTAGGCGACCCCTGTGAAAGGGTCGTTCGACCGCCAAAGGGGTCGCGACCCACAGGTGGAGAACCGCTGGTCTAGCGCATCATCACATCCATGTCTTTCCTTAAACTAGCTCCCATGTACCCTTCTGGGCCCCCAGGTGATGACTGTGCAGACTTCCCCTCTGGGGAACATGGGCTGGCTCCTGTGTTCTCGGGCCTGCAGTTCTAACACAGACAATTCACAAACCTCAAAGAGGCATGTGAGTCCACCTCTTCAGATCACTTCTCCCCACCAACAAGCTGTTGGTGACCCCTTCCCCTGACTCCAGTACCCTAGGAAAACCCTCCCCCACCAGCTACCTCTGAGGCCCCGACGAATCTGGAGGCAGCAGGTGGACACCAGGGTCCTGTGTGCCTTCTCCTGGGGTCTGTCTTCAGGCTTCGTGGGCTGGGCCTGGGGGGGCACCGCACTGGAGATAGTGCAGATCCTCAGCGGCCCATGTGGGGAGGGAGGGCCACTGTAGGCGGGGTTGTCCCAGGCTTCGCTCCCCAGATTTTGCAGCTCCTGCCCCTCGGGACTTTCGATAGCATTCATGGGGAATGAGGTGGGGACCTGACACCTCAGGTGTCCACTCTCACCTGAGACAGAGGGAGCAAAGGCCCAGCCCAGCTAGGCCAGCAGCGGGCAGAGGGAGTCTGAGAGCAGCTGGTCTCGCACAGCCTCTGCCTCCTGCCTTTTGTAGGGAAATCTGCGGCTGCTGAGGGGAGGGAACAGAGGAGGCGAGGCAGGGGGAGGACCATCAATCCTGTCAGGGGCTCTCTTTCTCTCCCTTCTGCTGCAGGTCCCAGGGGAGAAGGAGAAAGGGGTGGGAGGGATCTGTGAGGCAGGGGTTTGACGAACTCTTTTTTTGAGAAAAGGGAAAATGAAGAAGATGTGAAGACTCGGGTGGAAGGAAGGAGGGGTGAAAGAGGTGAGCGCTGGGGGGGAGGGGAGAGCTGCTTGCAGATGGGGCCTGATGGAGGGATGGTCCTGAGCCCAGTGAGACAGAAGAGGTGATGAAAGAGCAATGGGAGGAGCTGGGAGAGCAGGAGGCTGGCAGACTCCATTGTGGGTCTGAGCTCATTTCCACTAAAAGCTCCTGCAAGGGCTGACATAGTTGGGGAAGTGGGGGGAGGGGGACACCACAGCCAGGGAAGAGAGACTGAAAAGTGCTGCCTCCCTAACAGGCTCAGCCAATGGTGTCTGGGATGCTTTACCCTCTGACCTTGAGCTGTCCCCTGGGGGGATACAGAGGGGGAGCTCCCCTCCCTCACTTCACCCCATAGCTGGGGGGAAAGGATAGTGGCAGGAGGACCCCCAGTTTGTAGATACCTAAGCGACAGGGTCTCTGACTGCTGATGAGGAAGGGAGAATGCCTGCAGATTTCAGGTTGTATCCTTTTCCCTGAGATCTGGTAGAAAGTTCTCGTTTCTCAGCTGTGCTCGTGGCTTGGAGAGAGCTATACCGATAGAAAGGTGCCCCTTAAGGATTTTGGGGCTCAACCCGGGGAAAGGCTAAGCCCTGATTGGGAGGATGGATAGGAGAGGACAGGGTGACCTGGGACTCCTTAAGGGGAGTGTATTACTGGGCCCAGCTCAGCTGACACCCTTACCTATGGCTCTGCTTCTACTGGACCTGGAACTATGTGTGAGCACGAAACGGAAATATGAGAGCGATCAGGGCTGACCTGCTTTCCTCCCAATCTCAGGTCTCTGAATGTAAACCCTGGCATGAGCCCTCAAGCACACCTCTGACTAGGCCCACGTCTGGCCTCTGACCACCTGCCCTGGCTCATATACAGGCCTGTGCTGTGGCCCAGAATGGGGCTGGCCCCATGCGTGCGGGTAGTTACCTTCTCCTGATGGCTGGAGTCAGGGCTACCCTTCCTCCACCTCCTGGCTCTCTATCTGGGCTGCTCTATAGCTGCACTGGCCTGAAGCCCCCGTTTCACACTCAGTAAAACATCAGCCTGGTGGACGCCACCAGTCTTGAATGTCCTCATAAAGAGATCCTGACTCTAGACCAGGGGTCCTCAAACTTTTTAAACAGGGGGCCAGTTCACTGTCCCTCAGACCGTTGGAGGGCCGGACTATAGTTTAAAAAAAAAACTATGAACAAATTCCTATGCACACTGCACATATCTTATTTTGAAGTAAAAAAACAAAACGGGAACAAATACAATATTTGTATTTGCATTCGGCCCGCGGGCCGTAGTTTGAGGAACCCTGCAGACAACCCAGGGCTGGGCCAGCTCCTTGATCAATAAGTGCAACCCAACATCTGCGGCTGGGTTGAGTAAGCAGCAGCTGTCCTACCACTGGGTCTGCTACATGGATCTCCTGCTTCAGCCCAGACACTGTTAAGGGAACTGACTCTGTCTGGGCTGGAGTTAAGGCCTCTCTTCGAGCCCTCCCAGATGGAGTTCCCGTCTCTCCATTTCATTGGCTAGTGAGACACCTTCCAAGGTGCTCGGTTTCTTTGGGAAGACAAAAAATAAGGAACGGTGCCAGTATTGACTATATTGTGTAAAATCAGCTGATTTTGTGCTTCTTACCCACAAGCTTTCAAACAATTGCAAAAGGATTCCGGCTTGCAAAACTGAACATTGGGACAGGGGTGAGGAACAGAGTGAGGAAGCTAACAGTATAGGCCACAGTAGTGGGGAGGGCAACAGGAGATGGTTTCTGATTTCTTTGGGGATAATTCTATATTCTGAGGGAGGTCTTTGATCAGCAGGGCTTTGGATAGACTCATCATATGACAGGCCCCATACTCCTGAGAGCTTATGGCCAGAGCTGGACTGCTTTTATTTATGGTCATCTACCTGAACAATGCCTTTTGCTGCTCAGTCTTGAGCACTCTCCATGTGTGTGGATCAACCCCTAATGCCCCTGAGAGCACAGGTTATGTAACAGCTTGAGAAATTTCCTCCCCAGATGCTCTTTATTTCTAGCATATTTAGTCTTACTCAAGAAGTTGCTGATCCTGTAATCAAGTAGGATCTCCTAAAGATTTTGTGCCCAGCAGTTCTCCATGTCCTCAAGTTTCTACTGACACTTGACTTTTCTTGTGTGACCCTATTAAAGAGGGCAACCAATTTCAGAGGAGTCTCATGGCTCAGACTGCAAAACCCAAGAGGCTTGAACTTGAAACCAAAACTCCCGGGTGTAATTCTTGGCTTAGCTCTTTACTAACCATCTGGTTCTGGCTCAGTCCCTTTCGAGACTTAGTTTACCACTCTGCAAAGTGTTGATAATAAAGCCTGCCTTGCTTACCCTGAGGACTGTTATAGGATTAAAACAGTAGAATATAAAGTCTTTTAGTGTACTATAAAGCACAAAACACATTTATCTTACCAAAGCATCCATCCTTGCGCATTCGCTCATGCACAGCAGTTCAGGTTTAAGGTATTTACCTTCATCCAAGACTCTGCTGTTGTTTTCCCAGGGGTACAAGAGTCCCAGAACTTTCTGCATCCACTCCCATTCCATTCCAGCTGACACCAATGAAACAGAATAAGGTCATTTCAGTGTGAGGGTATTATAAAAGTCCTGGAATGAAAGCACCTTCTTGTTGCCCATCAAATTCCAAAGACATCTTAATGATGATGCCTCTTAGTCCACTTGGTGCATTGGTCCCACTGCTTCACTGGGATAAAGTTTTTGGTCACATGCTGTCCTAGTTCAGGCATTGAGAAGAGAATTACTCCATTTCTACCATCACTGTGCTCCCTTTTTACACAATTCCCCTCCCAGACAGGTTCTTTGTGCTATTTGGATCTACTGGGCCCTGACAAAGAGCGTAGGGACATCAAAGTCTGTAGGATAAAAACTTGTGGTCCACCTCCCGTAAGTTCCCCTGGAATAAGTCACCTCCCATATTCTAGAGCAGCGGTTCTCAACCTGTAGGTCGCGACCCCTTTGGGGGTCGAACGACCCTTTCACAGGGGTCGCCTAAGACCATCGGAAAACACATATATAATTACATATTGTTTTTGTGATTAATCACTATGCTTTAATTATGTTCAATTTGTAACAATGAAATTGGGGGTCACCACAACATGAGGAACTGTATTAAAGGGTCACGGCATTAGGAAGGTTGAGAACCACTGTTCTAGAGCAAGCATGTCAAACATGCGGCCCACCAGCTGTGAGTTTGACATGCTTGTTCTAGAGGAAGGAATTTGGGGGTCATTTATAGTCCAGATTCGACAGGGAGAAGCAAGCTGTAAACCACCTTCCGTATTCCACATAGTGACTCTCAACCTTTTTCACCCCAATAAACATAAACAATAGGATACATTCTATAAGTAGTGCTATCTCGCTATGGCAATTATTCTCAATGGAAGACATTGGAAATCACTTATCTATAAGAGCTTAACCTTCACCAATATAACACCAGAGTCATCTGCATAGCAAAAGTTCTGAAATTTGAGTGGCCCAAGTTTTCAGCAACAACAAACGTGTGAGTTTGGACCAAGCAAGCAGACCAGAGTAGGCTAAGCCCCAGAGAGGCCTCCCCTGCCTGTCTTTATATAACAAACACCACTGCACTGCACCAGGGGCTTCTACAAGCCCTAGCTTCTCAAAACATCAGAATGGACAAGCCAGATCCATTGGAAGGTTTGGGTGTAAAGAAGTTCTGGCCCTAATCAGTTTGGCTCAGTGGATAGAGCGTCGGCCTGCGGACTCAAGGGCCCCAGGTTCGATTCTGGTCAAGGGCATGTACCTTGGTTGCGGGCACATCCCCAGTTGGGGGTGTGTAGGAGGCAGCTGATTGATGTTTCTCTCTCATCGATGTTTCTAACTCTCTATCCCTCTCCCTTCCTCGCTGTAAAAAAATCAATAAAATATATTAAAAAAAAAAAAAAGAAGAAGTTCTGCTGCAGTTGTCCCAGCTCAGAAGCCAAGAAAATGGCATTTTGTTCTACTTCATCAGGGGCCTCAAAGAGAGGCTGTAGGTAACCCCCCTCCACATAAAAATGACCCACTTTAGCCTTTTACTTCCTTCCTAGCACCTCCCCGATTTCATAAGTCCTGCTGGAATACTATTTGCATCTGCCATCTTTTAATAAAAGAACTTTTTGAATGAGACCCTCAGCTTTCCTCCCATTCTAGAAGACCCTCCTGGACATCCAAGTCCATTTGTCTATGCCAGTGGTTCTCAACCTTCTGGCCCTTTAAATACAGTTCCTCATGTTGTGACCCAACCATAAAATTATTTTCGTTGCTACTTCATAACTGTAATGTTGCTACTGTTATGAATCATAATGTAAATATCTGATATGCAGGATGGTCTTAGGGGACCCCTGTGAAAGGGTCGTTCGACCGCCAAAGGGGTCGCGACCCACAGGTTGAGAAGCACTGGTCTATGCCTTCTACAGAAGATTGACAGATAGAGGGAACCAATCAAACCCACGTGATGGGAGGCAGATGATACCATCAACAAAAATGAGGAAGTTAATTTTTAGTTGCCTGGAAATTTGGGTCTGAGACCATGACCACATCTCCTTGCTGAGTGTAGTCTGGACATGGAGTGCTCAGGTGGTCCTGATGCAATCAATCCATCAGCAGAACTTCAGGTGTGGCGATCAGAGGTCTGTAGCTGATGTGGAGTGTTAAGTCAGGCCACCTGCTGGAGGTGGTGGCGTGGGGAAGGAAAGAGCTCCATGGGAGTTTGAGACACCAGGCTAGAAAGAAAGGGGAAGGGAGGAGAAAGAAAGGCAGGAGAGGAAAGGGGATGTATGACAGAGAGTCTAGGGAAAGAGGGCCTGAGAGAATGCGATCCTTCTTTCCCTCAGAGCCACTCACCAAATTTCACATGAGGCCTAGGTGACTGAATGTCCCCGTGAAGAGGGAGACTGGAGCACCAGGGCAGATCCCTCTGGTGCTCACTCTTCCAGCATCATGTCAGGGACTCAACGCAATCACCCAAGGCACCTCCTTGGCCAAGTTCTGAGGCCCCCAGTACAGGAGACACATATTTACCCATCCCAAGTTCTCATTCCACAGATACTTATTGCGTGCCAACTACACGGTAGGGACTATGCTTAACTCTAGTGATGAAGCAGTAAATTAAACCACCAGATACTTACATTCTGTTGAAGAAGATAGGCACTAAACAATTACACAAATCATTTCTAACCATAAAAAGTTCTGCCAGGGAGAAGTACAAGGTGCTATGAGGATACACAGCAGGAAACCTGCATTTCTGAGGCTGAGAAGCAAAACAATGATGTCTACCTCTCTCCCCGCTTCTGGTCCCTGCATCAAACATGGTTTTCTGAGATTAAGAAATGTTTCACTGCCAATATGCACACGGAAACGGACCGAGTTAAAAGACCAAACAAGGAGAAAATTGCAACACTGCAAAAAATGTTAAGACTTAAGTAATCGTTATCCCTCATGGTCACTGGAATGCGAGTTGAGCTAAGCTTGAACTCTTGCATTAGATTCTTCATTAAGACATGGAATCCAACCACATCTTCACTCCTAAAATTGGTTATCTCCTCAACACCTGGAACAGAGATAGAAATTAATAAGAGAACTAGAGTAGCTGGTGAAACTCCATTTGGATTAAACATTTTCTGAGGTGGTGGGACTTAAATCATGGAATTGTCAGAGTCAGGAAGCTCCTCTGGACTCACCGACCAGTTCTCAAATCCTTGAGGTGGTTTTCCTCAGTAAGGAAGCGTTCACTAGTCTGCAATGAGATGAAATAAGTAAGATTACAGGTAGTGAATTTTTCCATATTTTTTTAAGGACTCTCCTTAGTATTCTAAGACTATGTCTCCTCCTTTTTCAGTAGTTAAATGCATGTGTTTTGTTTTGTGTGAGTTTATTGTTTGTTTGTTTTGGTTAATCCTCACCCGAGGATATTTTTCCCATTGATTTATTTTTTATTTTTATAGAGAGTGGAAGGGAGGAAGAAAAAACATTTCCTGAGGTGATGGTTTTCACCTGTGTACTTATCTCCAAACTCAAGTTGTACACATTAAATACAGGGGTGGGCAAAAGTAGGTCTACATCTATGAGTACACAAAACACAGGGTTTATTCTTGTGTTATTATTTAATTATTTGTTTTACTTATTTGTGTTACAACTGCAAACCTACACAACTGTAAACCTACTTTTGCCCACCCCTATATATACAACCTCTTGTATGTCAATCATACCTTAATAAAGGTCAATTATACTTCAAAAATTTTTTTTAATTTCATGAACAGGAATTCAGAACCAAGAGCTTTATTTTTTTATTCCATTGGTTCTTTAATCCCATATCTAGAAATCTATCTTGATATTTCTATCAGCATAATTAATACATTTTTTGAAAGCTGAAAAAGAGAAAGCCCAAGTATCCAACAATGGAAAAAAAGGTTAAATAAATTAGGATACATCCACATGATGGGTTGTTGTGTAGAAATTAAATTTTTAAAGTAATATCAAAAAATTTCTATATGTGACACGGCACCAGAGTTAAGTTAGGGTTTTTCAAAATGCTGACACGCCGAGCTCAAAAGGTTCACCATCACTGGTCTAAGGTCTCAAACCTGGATGACTGGAAGGATAGTGATTCTATTAAAAGGAGGTGCGGGAGAAGGATAAAAAGGAGCAGGTTTCAGCAAGAAGGTGATAAATTCAGATTTAGATATTTTGGAGTCTAAAGTGTTAATAGGACATTCAGATGAGTTAGAGCTTGAGAGCGTAATGAAGACTGGGGAGAGTGAGGTGGGGATCATGTGTTTATTAGAGCCACAGAAACAGTTGAGATTGTCAAAGGGTTAAATAAAGACAGAAATGAGCTTAAGGAGTTTGGGGAAGAAAGAGGAGCCAGAAAGGGAGAGAATGAGTCATAATCAGAGGAGAACCAAGGATTTCCAAGAAACAAAATCAGAGGAGTATTTTAAGAAGGGGGTGGCAATTGACAGTATCAAATGGTGCTAAAAGGTCAAGAGTTCTCATAAAAGCCTTTGGATGTTTAGACTAGAATCTTTCAGGTGACCTTGGAAAGTGAGAAGGGTATAGATGCTTGATTTGGAGAAGTGGGGGTGTAGAGGTTAAAGGGGTGTAGTGAGGAAATGAAAGAAGTGGCTCCATTTAACTGCACAAGTAATTTATTATTTATTGAACACCCAACATATGACCTTCTTACATATCTTTTGGGGACGTCCCATGAAACTAAAACTAACCTTTCTCATCTTCATGTTCTAAAAGTGTCATTTCATTCCAATTTCTCTTTTGGTGCTGATTTTTAAAAATAGCTTTATTGAGATACTAGAGGCCCAGTACACAGATTTGTGCACCAGTGGGGTCCCTCAGCCTGGCCTGCACCCTCTCACAATCCAGGACCCCTCAGCATATATATTATATACAGTTTTAGCCCTATCCCCACAGGCCAGATCCTGACAGGAGGGAGCCTGATTCTGTGTGTTGAGCATCTGCCCCCGGTGGTAAGTATGTGTCATAGCGACTGGTCGACCGGTCGACTGGTCAAATGGTCACTTAGGCTTTTATATAGATAGATACTTCACATACCATACAATTTAACCAATCAAAGTGTACAATTCAATGGTTTTTAGTATATTCACAGATATGTGCAACGATGGTGCTGATTTTAAGGAGAAACGCTTTGGATGTAAAGTTTGGAATCAATTCCTATAATATATGCTGTAAATGAGAGAGAGAAGACCCCAAACACCAGAACAAATTCTCTACTCGCACCCTCTTGAGCAGAATCACAGAACTGAATGGCAGCCTAGGTTGCTTTTCCCATAATGGCCACCAGGTGGCAGCAGGACCCATGTCCTGTCTGTCAGTAAAAAAGCAGATGAACCAGTTTGAGGGCCTGTGTGTTCAGAGGATCCCCAACCTAGGGACCATTTTTTTAATTCCCAGTTCCTTCCTGTTACTTATTATTTTCTTCTGGGTAACTCTAAAGATTCATGTCACCCTGCTGGTATGACTAGGTGGTTGAGCATAGACCCATGAACCAAGAGGTCACGGTTGCAGGCTCGATCCCCACTAAGGGGCATGCAGGAGACAGCCGATCAATGATTCTCTCTTATTGGTCTTTAACCCTTCAGTCCGCAGGCCGACGCTCTATCCACTGAGCCAAACCGGTTCGGCTTAAAAAATTTTTAAAGGTTCATGTCTGGCCCTGCTAACAGGTCTTAAGCTGTGGGTAGTTATCATTCTGGAGATATACCTGGCTGTCTTCTATGTTAGTATGCGTCCTCTGAGGAGCAGACACCAAGACTGAATAACGGTTTTAGTGGGAAAAACACCTGTGAGAGAAAATAGGCAGGGAGCCAAGGAAGGCAGGGAGAACTGTCAGACCATGATGAACGTCTGATCGAAGGAGAGGGGGTAGGAAGGTTGGGTGGGTTTCCGCAGTGTAGTTAGCCTAAGAAAGGTTTGCAAGACCTTCAGGGAACCAAAACAAACCATCAGGGGAATTCTGCGTCTCCCAGGAAGAAGCCTACCTTGGTATCCCTGCCAAGTTCAATTATTGGTTGGGCTGCTCCTAGGACACGGACGTTCCCAGGCTGCTCGCCTGGAAGGGTGGCCCAGGTGAATGCTGTTGGTCAATTATTCCACTGGTAGTGGGAGGTCTACGAGGCCCATGCTTATGGTCTCCACAACTTCATAGCATCAGCCTTCAGGAGACTCTACCAAGGGCCTTCTGTGTTCGCCACCACTGAGGGGACAACTGAATCCCCACCTCTCCCTTCACGTGCTGATTTCACTCTCCTCTCCCCACCCCTCTCCCAGGGAACAAAGAGTGGGCCCCTCCATCTGCTGCATCTGACTCTGTTTCTGCTTGTCTGGATGCACCCAGGTACATGCACCTTCCCAAGCAAGTCCTACCGTTTCCATAACTCTGCCTTTGGCTCCTTCTTGCTTGTAAGCCCTGCAATGTGAACAAGATAATGGGATCAGGTGGGTGGTGGCTTCAGCCCTGACCCACAGGCCCACCTACCCTGACAGGAAGCTGGCCAGCACCAGGCCCCATCCCTTTACTAAAATCCCACTATCTCCGATGACCCTCCCTTGGCACCAGGTTATGGCCTCAGTCAAAGCCTAGTACATGACAGGGCAGCCACACATTTGCCAGGTGGTCCAGAAAGCCTGGTAGCTCTTGGGGGTCAGGAAGAAGAAGTTGGCATTTGTCTGGGGAAAGGAGAAGACTGCTGGGTGCCTGACATGACAGGGACTGACTGGGCCAATAGCCTCTGTGGGCTTCCCTCATGTTTTGAAGGCACTGCTATCTCTCTTTCCACCTGGCCAGTTCTCAGCTGGAAGACAGGCTTGGGAGGGAAGGGATGAATATAGTTGGCTCTCTTGGCTGCTGCTTGAAAGGACATGGGGAAACCAAGGATTCTGCAAGAGCATGTCCGGGCCAGAAAGCATTGCAAACCCAGTCTCCTAGGGAAATAGGAGGAAATAACCCGGGCTGTAAAAGGGGATCTAGCCAACCCCTGGTGTGGAAACAGCAGAGAAATAGTCTGGAATCCCGCATGATGACATCACTTGACACCTTAGACATAGTTATTTTACATCTTAGGTAAAGCTAAGGGCAAGTGCGGGATTTTCCCTTTCTTCTCTTGGGCGGGGAGAGGTGGAGAAGAAAGGGGGAGGGGGGGAATGGAGTAGAAGGAAGATGACTCCCAGAGGCCTTTCAGACTGGAACTTGCCCAGGGGCCAGGACCCTAGGTTCCAGGGTTTATGGAGGATGGATGGGACCATGGGGGCAGTGGTGGGTGGTGGGAGGACAGAGGAGGATCAGGACCCAGCAAATCTCCTTCCTCCTGTCTGTTCAACATGTTTATTTCTGTGCTCTTCAAAGAAAATCTGTGAAGTAGCTACAACGCACCTAACAGATGTACCTGATACCTCCCCACCACATGGTCCCCAGTGCCCCACCCCAGTAACCTAGGCTGGTACAACTTTCCTGAGCCTTGTAAAAGAGGGGTAAAGACGTGGGTAAATGCCAATAGATTGTCAAAGCACATAAGTGCACATACGTAGACATTTTTAAAAATTCCAAACGAGTCTGTTTCAAACCCATTCTCTTCCCCTAACTCACTCTAGGGGCCCCTCTATAAGAAAGGGCCCCTCTCCCTTCCCAGAAACTGTACCCTACTTAATATGGTATGTTTACCCTTTGCCGACATCAGATACTACCCTGCTCAGTTGGCTATTGTGCTTTGTCCTGTTTCTCTTGGAGATCTGTGAGCTCCCCAGGGGTGGGCCCAGAACTCTGGCTCCATTCTCCCTCCCACAGAGTTGGGAGGGAATTAATTGACTTTCCCCTGGGCGCTCGGAGGGCCCAGTCAACACTCAATCCCCAGGTGGATACATTGGCTCAGAGAGACCGAATGGAAGAGCAGCAGACACTTGGCCGGAAAAAGCTAGAGGAGTTTGGGAAGGGGGGGGGGGGGGGGGACACAGAAGGAAGCTTGGCTCTGAACACAGCCAGCTGCCCTCTGGACCTTGCAACCCCGCTGAGCCCCACTCAGCTGCTGTGTTAGCGCAAAGCAGGGTGACATCAGCGGGGGAAGAGGTTACTGTCAGGCAAAGGGAAGGCAAGGGGCGAGTGGGCTGGCTGACTGTGCACCTTCCTGAGCAGGAGGCTACAGGACTGGGAAAAGGTTGCCTTGGAGGGAGGGGAGAGTTCTGGCAGGGGCCTGCTTGTAGGGAGGGAAAGAGGGGAGGAAAGAAACAGACTGAGGGGTGAAGGCTGGAATTGGCTAAGGTCTGATACCTTTCACAGATGGGAGAGAACGGGCCCTGGTTTGAACTTCCGGAAGCCAGTTGTGACCTCCCTCAGGACACTCTTAGCAACTACAGAAAGCAAATGGGGTCTATCTCTCTCTGACCACAAAGGCAAGGCTGGGGCAAGCCCCTCCCCTCTCCCCACTTTGGCTCCAAAGCAGTCAGGGCAAGAAAGAGGTTCCTTTCAGCTCATTTATTTCTTGAAGGCCCTGGGCCTGTATCTGCTTGTCCTCTCTGTATAGCCGTCCTAGATGGAACGCTCTGGTGTGGTGTGGGGCTGGCTTCCCAGGCTGGAGAAAGATTCCCTGTGGGAGGTCAAGCCACCACAGAAATCTCCAGCCTGGCCCTTGGAGATTTTGTCTCCAAGTCTCACCCTCCCAGACTGTCAACCATATACTCTGCCCCAAGATATGAACTGTTCCCAGTCACATGCACTATCTGACCTGCAGACGTACACCCAGGTCTGAGATATAGGTAGTAATAACCTTCTAATAGGTAGAAGCTCCTCCCCTGCGACATACACCAGCACATGCAAGTGTGTGCACACCGCGCCCCCCCCCCCCCCCCCCCCCCCCCCCCGCCCACCCCCTA